GCCATGGAGGGACTGAACGTTTGAGGATGTGGTGCTATTCAAGCGGACTGCTTGTTCTGGATGGTGTCAAGCTCCTTGAATGTTGTTAGAGCTGTACAGAGCAGGCAAGTGAAGAGTATTCCACCACAATCCCAAACTGTGCCTTATAGATGGTGGACAGGCCTTGGAGAGTCAGGGGCCAAGCTACTCAGTGCAGTATTCTTAGCATCTGACCTGCTGTTGTAGCCACTGTAGTTGCATGGTGAGTCCAGTTGAGGTTCTGGTCAATGGTAATCTTCATGATATTGATAATGCAGGAGTCACTGATGGTAACACCATTGAATATCAAGGGGCAATGGTTAGATTGACTGTTATTGGAGATGGTCACTGCCTGGCAATTGTGTGGCACAGATGTTACTAGGATATTATCCATAGCTCAATGTATTCAGACATGGATTGTATCAATAGCTGAGGAGCTGCAAACAGCATTGAACATTGTACAATCATCAATGAACATTTCCACTCCTGACCTAACAATGGATGGAAGGTCACTGATAAAGCAGCTGGAGATGGTCGAGCTGAAAACGTTACCCTGAGGAATTAGCTTAGAACCCTTTCTGGAGTGCTGGAAAGTGGGACTAGTAAGATTTACAGTGGCTGTTTGTGCAGACAAGCAAAGCCACAGAGTCTCTTCTGTAATGTATGATTTTATGATTCTTTTGGTATGGTTGTGACACGATTTAGTCTACCTACCTCTGAACCAGGAGGCCTTGGTTCAAGTCACACCTGCTCCACTGGTGTGTAATAACATCTCTGAACAAGTTGATTAGAAAGCATCTCTTGAGCTTAAAACACTTTGGCAGTTTTTATGTTACAATGCTAGTGTCCATACCTCTGAACTAGAAAACATGGATCAAAGTCTATCTGCCCGAGGTTCACAACACGTCCAACACAGGTTGATTAAAAATAACAAATGGTCTTGTGGTGCTTTGGGAGAGTGCTCACCTGTAGGCTACAAAGCCTGCAATCAAATCTCACCTATGCCTTAAGTGTTTCATAAAATGGCTGAACAAGTTGTTTAAAATAACTATCCTGAGGAATTCCTTGAGCAGAGATGACTGACTTATAACCACAGCCATCTTCCTTTCTGCTAGGTACGATTTCAACCAATGGAGAGCCCCTATTCCCTCCTTGATTCTCAGACTCCAGTTTTGCTGGGGCTCCTTGATGCTATACTCTGTCAAATGCCGGCCTCTGCTTCAGCTCTTTTGTCCATGCTTGAACCAAGGCAGTAATGTTGTCACGAGCCAAGAGACCATGGCAGCACCCAGTCAATGGGCAGGTTATCGATAAGCAAGTGCTGCTTGATAGCATTCTTAATGACATCTTCAATCACTTTCCTTATGACTAAGAGTAGACAGATGGGGTGGTGTTTGGCTGTGTTAGATTTGAACAGCAATTTGTGTATAGGATATACCAGGGCAATTTTCTGCATTGCCAGGTAGATACCAACTTTACAGCTGTACTAAAACTATTTGGCTAGGGGTTCAGAAAGTCTGGAGCACGTCTTCACACAATTGCCAAAACATTGGTGAGGCCCATATCTTCTGAGGTACTCTGTATCTTCAGCTATCGTGCTATCAGTTGGAATGAATCAAAATGGCTGAAGACTGGCATCTGTAATGTTGGCCATCAGGAGGAGACTAAGGTAATCATCCTCTTGGCACTTCTGAAGATTGTTGCAAATGCTTCAAAAATCTCCTTTCCATCAAAATACTGGCCTCCCCCATCACTAAGGGTGGGAAGATTTGTGGAGCTTCCTCCTCCAATAAATTGTCCACCACCATTCTGGACTGAATGTGGCAGGTCTGCAGAGCTTAGATTGGATTCTGTAAGAACAGAAATTATGCAATATACATCCAAAAGCAAAAAGTGCATAAAGTGCTTATAAACAAATGCAATTCTTCACTACTGTCAACCTTGAGAGTCAAACTTCAGAAAAATAGGTCAATTCTGCTATTCAATTGATCATGTTTAAGCTAGAGATTGGCTCTATCTGCCTGCCTTCATTCAGAATCTTCAATATTCTGTACTAACAAAAAAAAAGTGAAATTTTGAATTTCATTGTTGACCTAATCTCAACAGGTTTCAAAGCAAAGTTCCACTACTTTTTTGTGGCATAGGTCCAACTTTAAGATTACAAGTACTAATTCTGGAGCTCCCACCCGGAGAAAATCACCACCTACCCCATCAAATCCCTTAATCTTCATCAACACCTTAAGTGTATCACTCCTTAATCTTTTTTATCAGAGGAAAAATTATGCATTGGTCCCCAATTTAACTCCTTCAGTCCTAGCATCATAAGTGAATCTGCAATACACCCGAGGAGCAGCACCCTTCTGATGAGTTTTGATCAGAACTGCACAGTTTTAACATGCTCCATCCACCTGCATTTTACAATAGATCTGAACATATTTTAAACATTATGAGTACATATATACAGGCAACATATTGATATTAATAAGAAAACACTGCCTGTAAATATAAAAATATATCTACAAATCCACAGTGTCTTGTAATGGAAAACATCCATAAGTATCAAATTAGAGGGTATTTCCCAAACAGATTGAGATGACAATGCGAGGTATTGATCAAATTATATGGTAAATGTAAAACTGATCAAAACAATCTGTCCAATTTTATCCCACTTAACCCACAAGTTGATAAACATATTTGTACATTGCATTGTACATAGTCCTCCTAGATTGCAAAATAGGCAATTGAGAGGTGATCCACACTGGGCCTAAATACAGAGCAACGAACGGGGTAGTTGCTAAATAGTGAAACATTAGGGAGAAAAGATTTGTGGGGCATAGGGTCCATGGCTGCATTCCCTCTCATTTCTCCAGCCGCTGTGGGAAGCTTTGAATAGGTTGCAAAGCTGTGTAGCTTAGAAGGAATGTTGGACCAGGTGCACAGATTATGATAGTTAGAAAATAATCAGAGCAGCTAATGGGCTGCTGGGCTTTAAAGGACTAGAATACAGCTGGGTAGTTTTAATTATAGAAATCTCTGGTTCAACTACACCTAGGTACCAAGAGCCATTCTGCACAATATACCTTAGGATGGATTGCAATGCAGTTGTACCAGAATTATATCTGGAGTTCAAAGTTTAAGTTACAAAGAACAATTACTCCAATTAGTTTGCATTCATTGGAATTGGAAGTTAATGAATGATTTGGTAGTAAGAGAAGGGGAACAAACTAGGTACAGTGAGTGAAACTTTCCTCTGTGTGCATGTGAGGGGCTGTGACAAGGGGCATGTTTAAGAGCTTGAGAAGTGAAATACAGAAGCACTTCTACAACAAGTGCAATAGAAGTTTAAAATGGTATTCTGTGAACTGTGATTGATTCTAGATCAATTGTTAATTTTAAATCTAAGATTGCTTGTCATCCAAAGGAATTAAGGGAAATAGGGAAAAGGAGCTGTATGTAAACAGGATCCAGATAAGCCATAATCTTTGACTCATGGCAGAACAGACACATAGGGCTAAATGGCTTATTCCCATGCTATGTCCTTCATTTAGCACAGGCCACTAGGTTTTGGGTTTCCTGCCTTGCCACCCCTAGCTCAATACACACTACTGAGAACAGATCCAAGCTATACAAATTTAAGTTCTGGACTTGATTACTGAACTATGCAGAATTATCCGATATCCCTATGAGCAAAACGATTAACCAGAGTTTGCTGTTTTGCATTAAACAAACCTCATTGGAAAATGGGTTTATGTACTACTGGCATAAGGTACGTTCTCCACGGGTTAAATAGTTAAAAATATACACCTACTTGATTTAACAATTGAACAAAGTTGGAACTAAAGTGGGAAATAGTACCAGCCTATGCAGGTTATGCTGAAATTTCAGAAATAGATTGAATATTGTTACATTAACAGATTATCCCAACAATACATGCAATTAAAAGTACATTGATACAAGGTGAATAGAAATCCTACCTGATGTCATTCATCCAATCTTAACTGAGTCTAGTACATTTTAAGGAAATCAAAGGAAAATTAACAAAACATTTAGAAAAAATTAAGCAAGTTTCAAGCTTCTCAAATGAAAATATATACATTGGGACTGAATAGGATGGCACCCCGAAGTAGATGAGATATTCCCAAAGAGTTATTGAAAACATCAAGCACCTTTAAGTCTACAGTTAACTGATATTTAAATGGCAAGTTAAATTTAAAACAAAAGTATATAAGCAAGAAAAATTTATTAAACTAATATAAAAATCAAACTATAAATCGGTGGGAGGAGAAAAGTACAAAAATAGCAATAAACACTAAACTAAAGCACCTATGTGATGAAGACTAGTACTTTCAAAAGGAAATAATTAAATCTACTTTCATTTCCTTCCTTTTTTGTTACTCTGCATATGAATACATTGAAAACTATCAATATTCAAGAATCAAAAAAACGAGTTGGAAGTAAGTTCCCAACACAGTACTTACCCTAAGCAACCTACAAAATCACCACACTTGGCCTCCATCAAAAACATGAAAAAGAAAATCTAGAATCTAAGTGAATAGATGCAGCAGCATTAAAAAGTGCACTTTGCCTTAAATTAGACACTCGTAACCTAAATTGCTTCACTATGTTATCATTAAGTTCTCTCCAAATTTTAAGATTTTTTTTTACAATCAAGTGTCACTGCTGAAAGTAGAAGCTGACAATAAAAATTTGCAACTACTTCTGAAGTTACTTTAAATGCACTGGAAGAAAAATGCTGGCAGATAAAATTTATAGGATCTTATTACTTCAAAACCCATAAATAATCATTAAAAAATGTCAACATTAGCACAATATGTTCCTGTAAAGAGTTTAATTTTGGTCAGGTTCCATATCATCTGTAACCTTTTGTCATCCACAGGAAATAAAAATACAATACATAACTGACTAAAAACACAATGTGTTATACAATTTTTTTTATTCATGAAAACAAAGCCATTGTACATGGTACAAACCATACTCAAGAATAAATAAAGAAAACATACTGCTGTACAACACATTGCATTTCAGTTGGAAATTGTTAAGTATTTTCATGATAGCTTCGGTCTCTAAAAATCATAATACGTTGTTAAAAGATGGGCAAACTGATCACAAATTAATTCGTGTTGACAATCGGACAGTATTCATATAGCTTTTTGTAGTTAAAATGTAGTAGTAGCATGGATTTCAAGACCTAAAATCACAACAAGAATGTTTGCTGCTATTTTGATATATTAGTGAGTAAGTGCCTGCACTTCTACAAACATTTGGAATGTGGTGCTTCAATCTCTATTAACATAAAAATTTGAAAGGCAAAATTTGAAAGACAAAAAACTTTACCTAAAGTTAAAACACTCATTCTGGCCCTGGCAATATCACAGTCCTGCAAGATAACAACTTAGAGTTCACAGATACAAGATGGGATTTGTTTTAAAGTATTCCTCAGATGGAGGAAGCTTCAGGGGTAACTAAAATGTAACAGAAGCTCCAACTTTTTTTTTAAGTATAAGAGAAAAACTTGCACTACCCCCAAGTTTTTGTTTTAAATAAAAGTACACAAAGTTTACCTGCTTTAACTGTGGCACTGCTTTTATGATGGAATTAAAACCATTTTATCATTTTTTTTTTAAATGAAGCCAGAAGCTTTCTTGAACATTAAACTGCACTAGTTTCAAATGGAAAAAGACAATACCCAAGTTAGATTGTACAGAAATTCTATTAGGAAAAGCCAAACTTAGTTATGGAAGGCAAGACTACACCCAATTGTATAAAAATTCATACCACACCTACAAAGTTCATTAGTGTTGCTCATAGCTTAAAAAATTACACTGTTGAGCCCCTTCATGACACAAGGTTTGCAACTAACTTTCACTGCAGCCATCTTGAAACTAAAAAAAATACCTACATAAAAATCACTCTCAACATTTGGGGACTGTTACACACCTCATCACTTTTAGTAAACTTGCCACTAAAACTTGAACTGCTTTTGGTTTATGCATCCATCATAAACAAAACCAAAAAACAAAGAAAGTTAAACAGCAGCAGTACTTTGAAACCTAGTTAAAAGTGTTGCCGGTCCCCAGTATTGTGTATAACAAGGTTCCAAAGTATATCAAAACTGAACCAGAAATCCTTGAACTAGTTACCTGAAGGAAAACAGGATAATTAATATTATATTTATTTTGAATTACTTTTGAAAGTCCTGCAAGAAAAAAAAAGTTCCCTTGCATTTTCAAATAAGTGAAACCTTCCCCATGGACTTAGCATTTTAAAATAGCACTGTCAAAAGGTCCAAGAAAAAAAACACTAAATTAATGCAGACATGTGGCTCAAACATGTATCATACAGAAATTTTCAAACAGTATACACCTTCAGTACTAAGAACCATTCTGTTTTTCCTGTCACTATTCAATATTATTCTATTTAAGAATCTGCATATCATTTGATATTTGGATCAGTTGGACAAACAGCAAATTGATCCAATCCTACTCAGCCAGTTTCCAAATCTTTTTAAAAAATTACAGATTTATTTCTATATGCAAGAATAGAACAGGTTCAATTGAGGAGACAACTCAGCTTCAGTAGGTCCCCATCATAAAGTATTACAATCTTAAGAAAACTATGCAAGTTAAAAATATGGCCAAGTATAGGCACATTGAGCATTTTACTAAAACGCTGATGAAAAATGCAAATTATACATTGGTTTGAGCACATTTTGGGGCCACTTTATACAGTGGTTTGGGTGTCTAGACTCACTAGGTACATTTTTGCAAACACCATTTCCAACTTTCATTCATTTGAATTTGAGCACGAGATCATAAGTGAAACAACCAGACATACTAATCAGTTCCTGAGTCACTCCAATCTAGTGTAATGCATAAGGTAGTCCCAAGACCATGCTGATATTTCACTTTCACAGTTTCTGCAACACGAAAATAACCAAGCAATAAATTCAAAACCAACTTTCACCCATCCACCCCCCAACCAAAATACAGAACAGAAATTAAAAATACAATTCAGAACACCAGACATCTGCTAACCAACTGGTAAGGGACAAAAGTTAAGCAAGTAAGTGTGCACCTGAAACTGCAGTAAAGTCAGGCGAGCAATGCCAGACTGTGCTGATCCAAGACCTAAACTAAATTCAGCTTCAGGCTTTGTTTAAATGCTGCCGTGAGCTCAAAGTATCAAATGGGTACTCCGTGGTTTATCTCTTTGGGAAGTTTAGGGAATTACAGAGCTCACTCGCTATAGATTGAGCCTGGAAGAGTGGGGACGGGAAACAGATCCTCAAATGTGCTAGTGAGCTGGAGTTTTCAGAGCAACAAGGGCCATTCTTGCTTCTTCAAAGTGGGGGGAAAAAAACCTCTATTCTAGGGTCATTCTTCAGTGCAGTCTTAGCTGACCCGTCAAAGATAGGCCTCTCAAAACCTAATACAACTAGGCAGATCATGCTGTTTACAGTCTCTACCTATTTATATTTTAATTCTGCACTTGGGGCTTCAACCAGCACTAAACTTGGTTTTGCAAATTTAAGCCCAATGCCCACGTGGGTAAATGCATTGCCTGAACAAATGTTAACACTAAGGGCTGCTCTAGCACTGCAGACAATTATACAGAACTGAGATTTATGCAACATAAAATTGACTTTAAAAACAATTTACTGTGAGTTGAATCCGTCCAATAAAATTACTTCAGATTCAGTAACTGAATTTTCTAAGTGGCCTGGGTTACAGAAATTCAAACATTTATAATGGGAATATTATATATTGTCAGAGTTTGAATTTATTATAAAGTTATCAAGTATTCAATCCACTTTAAACAAAATTATATCATTTAAAACATTTAAGGTGGAAAAACTCAGGCATGTCAGTGTGAGCGAGTGATAATCTTGAGCAAATCAATTTGTTAAAACCACATGTATTCTCATTCGCAGTACATAAGCACCTATTACCTATGCAAAGGGAAACTGCAATGCAGTGCAGGTTTATACATTAATTTTATTTCCTTGAATACAACCGTAGTTTTGAGCTTCTGTGATGCTCAGTTCCATTTATTAATGTTGGAGCCATGGGTTTTAAAAAAAAAAATCAATAAAGCCTCAAATAAATAAAAACGCTAATGGCTTTAAACAGTTTTATCAGTTATAGTATTTAATCCAAAGATGTAACACATATCCTGCCACAGGGAAATGCAACCATCAACATTTTAAATTACTAAATAGTACACAGTTCATTCAAGTGAGAATGAATGTAGTATGAAGTCTATCAATTATTCAGAACTGGAATTTAAAACATTGCCTATAAAATGCAACAAGCTCAAGTCTCAGATAGAGACCCCTAAGTTCATACTCATATCTACATCTTTGTTGCCACAGCTTTTAGACATTTCAAGGATTTAATCAATTTAAACTTTGTGTGGTAAAATGCAAATCAAATGCCAAAGTGATTTGGAAAACTGACCTACTTGCAAATTTTTTTTTTACTTCAAAATGTAACATTTGCCAAAATAAATTTAATACCCACATCACCTTTGTTCAAGTTTTCTTCAATACTGAAGAAATTCAGTAGGTTTGTTTGCATTAGCTGATCAAACAAAAGCATGACATACAGAGTTTCAACAATCACTTTTTTCAGAAGAGGCAAACTAAAGTACAGTATTTATACTTTCTTTTATATCCCACAACATGCATCATCCAAAGAGTCTCTTGCTCTCAGGCTTGCACAGGCATTGCTACAATCTGTTGTAGACTAAGAACAACCTCACCTGTCCTACACAGCAGTACAGAATCAGTTGGATACTTTTGGAAGAGACTTACAATCTTGGACCTTCAGGTAAGAATTCATCAGATTAGTTTGCCAAAGCATTAGGACAGCTCATCAACTATTTTTAAATATTAACAATATTCCGGCTGTATACCATTCACTGCTTGAAAGTTTCATTTTACATCCAGATTTCTGGTTGGCCTACAAGTTGAATACAATTACACATCCATTATAGATTCTATTTGTGTAGACACTTATTTTCAACTACACAACTCCATTGTATCCAGAAATCCGTATTTCCATTCATTAGTAAACAAATAGAATAACCTATGTACATGGCTGTATTCAAGGAAATAGACTTCTATTTTAGATACTTGTAGAATGTTTTAGTTACAAAGCTAAACATGAAAAGGATCAATCGTTCAGATTTTGTTACACTGATTAAACATGATCACAATAGAATCTTACTACTTTCAAGGCAAACAAAGGGCACTTTCTGTAAGATAGTGGTCATTTTTTTTTAAAAAAAAAAGAGGCACAAAAATGGAATTAAAATGGCATGAATAATGGACTTCACATGTATACTAATTCTGACCTGTACCATCATTAAATATTTTACAACATAAATAAAAGAAATGAAATACAGCAGCAAAAACATGTGATCTTGACAAGTTTTATAAACTACCAGTGCGTAAACCCTCCTGAGTCCATTTCTTCTACCCACCCCACCCAACTTTAACAGTGAAAGTAATTTAAATATATAAATCACTAGAATGTGTATTCACAGGAGAAATTAGTCAGCATCATATCTGTCCAGTCTTCCCAAATTTTCTTGGATTATGACCCAACAATCGTTTGTGGTCAGTGGTTCCTCCATGTTCAGTAATGTGTGAAAGTTTCTAGAAGGTCGGTCTGAATTGAGGCCTGTTGATGTACCTTTTCATGGAAAGTGACCCAGAGTTTTTGGACAGCCTAACTCTCCTCAGCACTCTGCTGAGAGGTTTCTGTTCTGATCTTTTTTGGAAGTGGCTCCCCATCTTCAGATTCCTAGGTAGAAAAAGATCAAGTTTGACTACGAAACCAGCATTATTCTCCTTCAGATGTTACTTGTAAAAGATCACAATAAAATTTTAGCAAAAGTTTACAGAGTTCAATTACAACAGACAAGGACACATTTTTCATTCTGAAAAAGTAGTAACACAAAAACTGTTTTCGTGCACGTGAATTTGAATGGAATGATTTTTCTATCCAGTGATTCAACTGTAAAGGAAATACAGAATACTCCATTTGCAATTGTTCAATGAAGTTCAGACAAAACAGCACATATTCTAGACAATGCTATTCCCTGTGTTTAATTTGACCAGAGAGAGATCATGATAATAAACTTTAGCTTAATCCACACACACACACTTCCCATTTTAATAAGATTGCTTGCCTTTGAACACAAACCTGGTTCAGTTTATGTCTCAAAATCAGTTTACTTCAAGTACATGGGAGTTAGTGTGCACGTGAACCAGTCAATTGTTTGTTAATGCTGTTCATTTTGGATTTATCCACTGCATTAGAAGAATATTCTTAAACTCTATATCCAACTAGTAAGTTAAATGTATATTTTAAAAAACCTTGTAAAGTTCAATGTCTTGGATAATTTGTTGTTCAAAAAAACTTCGTACAGTTCAATATCTTGGATAATTTGCTGTTCCAAAAGGGAATTCCATATGTTACAAACGCTAAATATGATTGGCATTTGCAGTATTATAACAACTTTCTCAATTATACCTGAGTATCTTTGGTAGTATCTGTGTTCTCTTTCACTCCCGATGGCTGCATATCTGATTTCTCTAAATCAGCTGGAGATAATTCTGGGGGAGTTTGGGAATTTGGCTCTGCTGGTGGTGATGTGTCTATAATAAAAAAGCAAATGCATATTTATTAGGTTACATTTTTCACATTTATAACATTTACTATAATTTCACAAAGATTGGTGTCCTTAATTAAGACAGAAACTAGCTTAAGACAGAGATTCTGTAAAAAGTGGTAGCCAATCTGACGAAAGGCAAGCTGCTAGGCCTTACATTTGCTAGAAACATGACAGAAAAAGAATACTCCATTGAAAACATCTCAATGTGACCAAGGAATTTTTGGCCTTCAGCCAAACTCTCACCAACAAAATACAAAAACTATCCTGGATAATGCAGCAAGGACTACAATAATGAACACAAAAATTGGAGATTTTCAGGTTGATACATGTATGTAAAAGAGCTTTTCTAAATACATTCCAAATTTTACTTCTATCGTTCTGCAAACAGAGATTATTGCCACACTAGGCCTCTGAAATCCGGGCACTGACCGGAGTTTGAAAGTCACATCGTCTATTCCAGGATTTCACTCAAGTTTTCATTCCCAGGCGTTTAAGGCAAATCAATGTTATCAATGTTATCAATGCCTTATTCGCGCACTGTTCAGCATGGACTTACAAAGCAATACTAGCAAATAAGATGGGAGCCAGAAAGTTATCTGCTTGTCCCTCAGAAGTTAAATGATAAATAGATCACCTATAAAGGAAAATGAGGTTTACAAACGCTGTAAAAATTCTCTATACACATGTGGAATATTTTGGCAAAGCTGTTTCAGCATGGAAAAATATTGCTGTAGACTCATTCTTAAATGTGGTGTAAAAATCAAAATTCCCAAATTTCCATAGTGAATAATACTGAGAAGTGGATGCACATTCTCTCCCATCACTCAATAATACAAGCTAATGCTATTCAATTTAAAAAGTATTCCAATTCAACATGAATATACTCATATACAATTGAATTTATAACAGAAACTCCATCAAATATGATCTATCAAACCATTTCTACATTTTATTTCCAAAATGACTGCATTTATAAATGCAATAATGGTTTCTATGATGGTCATTGTCAATACAATTCAGCGTTAAACTTGATAATGAAAGTCACTTTGCTTCTAGGGAGTGGGGAGGGGAGGCACAGAGCCAGAATCTTAGGCATAGCCGTAAGAATATAAAGTGAATACCTTTAAAGCATCTTTTTAAAAATTCAATATAAAAGTTCAACAATTGTGCTTCCATATCTAAATGTTCCTTTTCTTTCTCCACCGTCACACCCAATAGAAAAATGGAATACATGAACAAATGCACAAATATTTATATTTTGCTTTTGCAGCACAATCGTTTCAATGGCCTGACACGTATTGCTAACAACTAAACTACAGGGAGTAGATTAAAAATCAAAGTGTATGAAATATTAATATATAACAAAATACAGATACTTTTAAATTTTAGATGCTATCAAAATTTTAGATTTAATACATCTTCAAATATTGTGACTGTGCAACTTTTAAAGTTTAAGAGTTAAGCCAGTGCTTTTTTTCCCCCTCAAAAGATGACCCCAAACTTATATGTTGCTGAAAGGAACCTAGGTGTTTTTCAGTCTAATTTTGTTATAATTCTAAAATTAAATCCATCATAAATCAATATTGCAGACTGACTATGCTAAAACATGAATCCACGACAGTTAGCATCAGGGAACAATTTTCAAGACACTTTATAAATAAATACCTTCTGCCATGTTGAGCACCTTGCAGTTCAGTACCTTTGAAAAATAGTCTATACCACAGGTATAGTGTTAATCATTAATGAAACAGTGTTTCAAATATCAACTATAACAAGTTGGATTAATTGGATCTTACTAAAAGTGTTGGTGCAGGAGTAGAGAGTCAAATGGCCTGTGAGCGCTGTATTATTTTAAGATAAATATTAAACCTCAGGCACCATAGTTTAAATTAAAACGATGAATAGAAATGTAATTCCTTAGAGGAAGCAATAAAGGGATAGTCAAGATTTTCTGCATAAACTAGCAGGCTTCAAGCACTTTTTACAAGTAATGTCACTGATTAAAAGGCTGCGGGACAAATGCATTAGTCAGCCAAATATCTTATAACTTTAGAAAACAGCTTGTCTTCGAAAGTTAAAACATTCCAAAAAGCGAAGCATTTTTTAGAAGCTTCATTAATAATTAACAATACGTTTGACAAAAATATGCAAATGGAGAGAAGCAAATTGAGAAATGGCCATACTCCCAAGAATAACCAAGAAGTATTTTAAACCTAAAATTCATCTATAAACAAATTCACTGATTATTTGTCTCAAACTGACAACAAAACAGACCCAGCAACACACTTTTAAATTTGAGAAAAATTAAGTTTTAAGATTATTAACTATGAACCAAAATTAAATATAGTTTCAAAGTGTTATATAGGTTCTAAAGAGCAATTAATTGAGAATGTGTTATTGTATTGCTGTTAAGTACAGATGGCTGCTTTTCTAGGTTCTAGGCCAGTCAACAACGCATTTAATTAATACTTGATTTTTATCTTCAGAAAAAAGTTCCACAGGTACAATTACTGCATTCAGAATGGCCAGCATTATGAAGGATCATGCGGATATGCTTCAAGTGCACAATGTTTAAAGATGTACAAGGGCTTTCTCAGATTGCTATTTCCCTATTTGGTCCCTAATGCAATTAATATTTGATATTTATGCAATAAAATTTATTTTTCAACGTACGTAGCTGCTGCTTGGATTTATTAGATTTTATGCGGTTACTGAGTTGGTCAGTCTCATTTTGCTGCAATTGAATGGGATTTTTACATAAACGTTGAGATAGAAATAGAAGTCTTGCCATGGTTACCACTACAGAGCATTTGTTGGGAGGGGAAACTGCATGAATAAATTTAGTTAAAATGATATAGATATAAAAACACAGCATGTACTATCCACAGTGAAGTGCAAACAGTCCAAACAAACTGGAAAATGCTTCAAAATACCTATAAAATGGTGCACTAGTTGAATGTGATTTATGGATCTGTTTATAATATCCCAGATGCTAAACATAGACATTACGATTAAGTTTATGTAAAAGAAAACCTGAAATATGAATACTTTGATCCAAGTACAAGATATGAATTACAACATTAATGGCCCAAATAGTTAATACACAAATTTAGGAAAATCCAATTTTAACTCAAAAAATGGGCATGAGACATCAGTTGGGAAAATTATTTAAACCTAAGTAGTTTCCTTGAAAATCAATGAATTTACTTAGCAAACAGTTGAACCAGATGGAAGGATGGATATGGTCTGATCATTGATCCATGCTGTGTTAGCAAGCAGGACCACAGTTGAGTGCCACCAAACTCCCCCCCAGCCACCCAAACCACATAATCACTGCCCTCCCCCCCCAAGTTAAAGAAGAACATTCAGTCTTATTTTCCACTTTTGATCATTACCACTTAGCCATTGTTAAAAATAAACATGCCAACAATAGATAAAAACAGGATGGATAGAAGCTACAACAAATAAATAGCCTGTGGACACTTATTGACCAAATTCATATATGAATAACTAACACTTGAATGAGATAGCAAAGGAAATTGTATCACTAACTATAATACATGAAAGAGACAATGCCTCAGGAGAGGCACTAAAGAAATAAAACTGCCACGGGAAAATAAATATCTGGAGAGTTAGAACGTTCAAAAGAGCATGAAGAAGAAAATCAAATTATTATAACCTGATCTTAGATGAGTGAATTTTGAGATTTGCAGATGTGAAGCATATCAGGAATTAAACATTTAAGGGCAGACTGAAACTGAACACATCACAAAATATGTTGGAAAGACAAACAAAGTTAGAATGATTATTCCCATAAATAACTCTTGAAATTCTGTATCAATATTTAAGATTTTTATGCTAACCTTCTAAAAAGGTGGCTTGTAGCTTTAATGTGGGACTCACGTTGAAAGGGAGCAAGTTTAAAATCAAATTCCAATTAAATATTTGTCACTGCTAAAATTGAGGTTTTCCAATTCTCAGTGAGCAGTTTAATAGCCTTGTGGTAAAGAAAAAACACAACTACACATACATGTATACACATACACAGAAACCTATCCCGTCCCACAAAGCACACCTCTTATTGGTAGACATGGAGGAGCTTCCATGGTGCCTCTGAAGAAGTCTGCTACCCAGACGGTCCCGTCCTCCCAGATGAAGGACAGCTTGGAGGCAGGAAGGCATAGAAAAGGAGATGTCAAATTAAAACAATTACAGGAAAAGTTATTTGTTTAGCTATCTAATTTAAATTAATATGTGTTTTTCGGTTACTTGGCTTGAAAAAATTCGATTCAAAATTTCATTAAAAAAATGAAAATGTACGTCATTTAAAAAAGCTGTGCAGCTTTCACCACTCCCTCCCTTATGTCACAAATTTTATGCCAGTGAAGAGGCAAAAGCAGTCAAACTGTTCATGACCCATGACCAGAGGGACTTTCCAATTGTTTAAAAAAAAAAGAGACTGTAATAGCTGGCCAAGTCTACATCTGTGTTTCTACTGATTTTTATTGAACAACTTCAGATAGCACAAGTTTCATTTGGCAAGCAAAATTTTCAGCTTCTGATCTCATTCCCATACTTCCAGGAGGTACGTTAAACTCATCAAGACAGGAAATTAAGCGAAGCATATTCTGGATTAGACAGAAACTGCCGAATTTAAGCCTGTTCAAAGTATTTATGCAGTACACAAGCTCACGATTACATAAAAAAAGTATAAATAGAATAAATACCCTTTTATTCCCTTCCACCTGACCAGGTATCAGTGTAGCACAAGTGGTAGATACAAAAATGTCAAATTTTGTGGTAGTTAATGAACGGTCATGAAAGGGCATAAAGGGCCCCATGTTACTTACTTTTCAGCTAAACAGTGGGACCCCAAGTACTAAATGAGAGAGCAGTATAAAAGTCTAATGCAAGGTTGAATAGTTGAAAAAAAGAATGATCACCTGCAAGGCCACGTGATATTCTGAGATTGAGGTTTGGACCTTTCCAGAGAGGTCACTTTGCAAACTCCATGTACTGCCAATTAGAGAGTAGACTGTTGACCTCCCCAAAGAACAGGTCACATGGATTCCTTTTGTGCATTATCAATTCAAAATCCATCCTGATCGTCTCCTAGAGATCACTCCACTGACAAGACAGGAAATGAACTGTACATAAGGGACATAAAAAGATCTCCAGCAGCAACAATAATAAAAGCTTCTGAAGAGGATAAACAGAGGAAAGGTTTTCTTTACCAAGGCCTTTGATCTCAACAGTTTCTACATTTTACTCATTGCTAGTTAAATTCCCTGGTAAGAAGCTGATTATGACTTGGAAAAACTTGCTTCAAAATCATCAATCTTCCAATATGGAAACCACACATCAGCAACAAGCACATGCCCTAACACTACCTGTGTTTAAAAAAAATACTTCTATGAATTCTATAGAACATTACAGAAAATAATCCATATCCAGCAGTATTACAGATCTCTGATGAAACAATTACCTAGCCAATTCCTCAGAAATCCAATATTCTCTATATACTTTTGACACTCAATTTGAAGTCAAGGCAGAACTTCTTTAAAATCATATTTTTTATTCATTCAGTGTCACATATTGTAAATTTTCTAATAAATCAAACTACAAGGATTCAATGCCCCATTCATTCTAAATTAACTAATCGCAGCCTGGATAACAACAAACCATTGCAATTGGCTACAGACCCCAAGTGGTAGGAAGCGGGAAAATGTAAAAAAAAACCAGGCAGGATTTAATCCTCCTCCTGTGAGGTGACTCCTGCTTGTAAATTCATGCACCTAAAGGTTTGCTTGGTGATAACATCTATATTTTGTTCACGACCCAGATTTCCACAAACAATGATAACTTAAATGGGTACTAAAGAGTTCCTGATCCCTGCAGAATCATGAGCTATAGAAACAAACTAAGTATTTTCAGTAGAGGAAGGAAACCGTTAGAACTGCAAGGGCACAAACTTAAAAAGTGATTGATTTTTTTTAAAGTTAAAACTAACTTTAAAATACTGTGCTTATGTATGAGCATTGTATATTACAAATGTCATTAAAAAGTAGCATCACAGAGTCAAACAATTAATGACTTGAATACTTTGGGTAAGTATTTTAATTTTAAGATATGATTTTAAAATTGTTCAGCAGGAACAAATCTGCGCTAAAATTCTGCAGTTGGAAGATTGAGTACTGTTAATCATTTTACACAGATCCAAAATAACAAAACTAAAAGTAAAAACAAGCACCTTAAACTCCAACGAGCATTTGTTTCACAATTTCTCATTTATCTCCTGTATTCATACACAGACATTGTTTACATTTCAGTATTTGCTCTTTGAGGATTATCCAAATCATTTTATTTTCCCAAAAGTACTCCCTTAATTTGATATAACCACCCTATATAGAACATATTCCTATTAAATGTACTGTGTCAACCATTATGATAAAATCTCCAAAAACTCTAAACTATAATGCAGTTCATTCTTTATTAACATTTTAAGAAACTATCACACCCAACATTTACATTTTCATGAATAAGTTTTTGATTTTCACTCAAGGATCAATAAATGTATTCAGCAAAGTTGGGTGAGAGTTTCTTCCACTCAGAAAATATTACAGTAAATTGGATTTTGACCTGAGGACTCCTGACCAAAGTCCTGATCTCTATTCCTAAATCTGTTTTAAGCCTTACCGTCAGAGCTGGGCTGATCTTTGACAGGGGGCTGAACGTCCTCAGTCCCAGTTTCAGCGCCCTCTGGTTGGATTATCAAGTTCTGCTCAGGTGCAGGACTTGGATTGCTGCTGTTCTCCTGCTTCATTGGAGAAGCATCTGCTATAGAACTCTGATTACTGTTCTCATCTAATTTACAAACACCAAAAAATTGAATTAGATAAAATTAATTTTACACATTTGACAAAATGCTACAGGAATGAAACAGAAAGCAACGGGTGAAGGCACAGAAAAAGGACCAATTGCAGGTGAACACAACTTTGGATTTTGGTCTTTTCCTACCCCCATCAAAGAACCACCAAGTTTTTCTGAATGCGGTTGAAATGTAAATGGTTCAAATTCGTTAAACGTACAACTTTTCCAAAAGCCCACACAGGATTTACTCCTAATAAATATCTTCTATTGATAGTTACTTTTGAATGCACAGGAAGTTTTTACATTGTGTTTCGCAGTGCATGGCCAATATCAAAAACCTGCATACTGTTCTCCCACATTTATATTTTTATCATTCACACTTTGCAGAAAGTCACCTTTAAGTTAGCCTTCAGACAACACAGCATCTCTCCTCTTAAGTAGTCTTGAAGACTGTACAAAAATAGAAGATGCTGATCTACCACACAGAGGCAGGTTCAACTGAAGCATTCAAAAGGGAATTATTAAATCATCTGAAAAAGAACGTGCAGGAGGAAAAGGTGGGAGAACGATACCAATGGAATTGTACATCTTTTCTCCAAAGAGCTGGTACAAACTTGATGTGCTAAATAGGCTCTTGCAAGCTACAAGAATTTTGTGAGCTACCCATGTTTGTACAACCCAATTTTGTGTCATAAACCAGGTTCATTAATAGGCTGAAATGACTCAGGTCATTCAAATGATCAATTAAATGATCATAATTTTGATATCATGTTTTTTAAAAATTGCAGTTAGGAACTTCACACTTTTCAGTACCATAATTTGCTCGCGGGCCTCCCTCAGGAAAACAAGGGTGGCATAGTAATGGGCTTAAAAGTTTGGTCCACTACTGCAACAGTAATAAACTTTGCTTAGTATTCCATTATACAGTTTCTTTGGCCAAGCCAAGCCTTTAACCTAAAGGTGCAAAACAAATTCATCCCACTATAAATTCATTCATTAAAAGCTGTCCCACAATTGGCAACCCTGGTGCCTGGAATATACGTAGGAATGATGTAGGTTGTAACACAATGAATAAGAAGATTGTGTTTCAATTATTTTCTTCCACTGCACCTGGGGTTTCTTTGTCACTAAAAATCTCTTCAATTATATTGTTTGCTTCAGAGTTCATTAATCCTTTACCTATTTTTGTCTCTGCGTGCATATTGTTAATTCAATATTAGCACTATATTATGATATAATAGTTATTTTCCCTTATGCCATTAAATAACTTACACATAGTGGCGGCAAGTTGAGGAGCAAATGAGGAACCATAAAATATCATATTCAGAATGCATTGCCAATACTTAGTTCAAAAGAGAAACATGAAACATATCCTGGTAAAATATGAAACTCAGTCCAGAATCTTAGCTGCACAGAATTTCATAATTGTGAGTGTATGAAGTATCTGTTTGGTCCATGGTATTTACACAAAATCTCCGAATGAGCATCATGACTTTGTGGCACGCTCCTATTGTTTCCTCATAACCCTGTACATTATGATTATTTAAATAAATATAGTGCCCTCTTGAATGTCTTGACCAGAATTCAGAAGTGTTTTCTGTACACAAAATGCTTCCTGGGTTAAAAAGTATTTTTCTCATCATATTTATTGCTTTTGCAAATCACTTCAAATCTCTGCCCTCTCATTCTTGATCCTTTCATGATCGAGAACATCTTCTACTCACCTACTTTGTCCACACTTCTCAAATTTGCAAACTTCTATAAAAGCTCCTTTTAGCCTTCTCTCCTCCAAAGTGAACAGTCCCAGCTTCTCCAATTTACCTCCATTATTGAAGTTCCTCATCACCGGCATCATTATTGGAAATGTCTTCTCCAATTTCTTCAACGTATTCATGTCCTTCCTGTTGTGTGGCACTTGGAACTGTACACAATACCCCAGCTGAGATCTAATGTAGTGTCTTATACAAGATAAGCATAACCTCCTTGTTCTTATACTTTATGCCCCTATTAACGATGCCTAGAATACTGTATGCTTTATTAAATGCTTTCTCCATCTGTCCTACCACCTTTAATGTTTTATGCTCATTTATACCCAGGTCTCTGCACCTACACACCCTTCACAGTTGTTACTTTTATTTTTTAACGTCTCTCCATGTTCTAAAATGCATCACCTCACCTTGCCATATTGAACTTTATCTGCTACCGATCTACCCACTCTGCTAATTTGTGGTGTCCTTCTGAAGTTCTACACTGTTGTCCTCACAGTTTACAATGCTTTCAAGTTTTGTATCATACCTAAACTTTTAAAACTGCCCCTACACTCCAAGATCTGAATCATGAATGTAAATCAAGAAAAACAGGGGTCCTAATAAAACAAGGATTCTGGGATAGTCCGACACAAACCTTCCTTCAGCCTAAAAATTATCCTTTAACCATTACAGATCAAAGTGAAGTTCAATATTTAAACAGATATCTCAATCATTTCACTTACATTTTAAGCGTAGGAATTCCATTCATGGAATCATGAATAGACAGTGACTGTTCTACTCATGCATTAGGGCGGCACGGTGGCTCAGTGGTTAGCACTGCTGCCTCACAGTGCCAGGGACCTGGGTTCGATTCCACCCTCAGGTAACTGTCTGTGGAGTTTGCACATTCTCCCCGTGTTTGCGTGGGTTTCCTCCGGGTACTCCAGTTTCCTCCCACAGTCCAAAGATGTGCAGATTAGGTGGATTGGCCAAGCTAAATTGCCCGTAGTGTTCAGGGGTGTGTAGCTTAGGTGGGTTATAGGGGGATGGGTCTGGGTGGGATGCTCCAAGGGTCGGTGTGGACTTGTTAGGCCGAAGGGCCTGGTTCTACACTGTAGGGATTCTATGATGATGAATCAGCCAGATTTTTTGCTGATTAGCATCCTCCACCAACAACTGCTTCTCATTAAAAAATGAAGGTCAGAAAGAACTCGCTAATCAAATTATAAAAGATTTGCTTTTAAAAAATAAATTAAATAAATTAAGGGACAGTTAAATTTGAGCAAGAAAGGAATGTGCAAAGAAATATGATTTCCATCATAAATTAAAAAAAAGAACAGATAGGAGAATAAAAAGTTGATAAAAACCTATATATCTACTTGGATCCAAAAACAGGAAGTGTTCCATTGTGACAACAAAATAGGCAAAAGTCCGAACACAGAACATAGAACATTACAGTGCAGTACAGGCCCTTCAGCCCTCGATGTTGCGCCAACTTGTGAAACCAATCTGAAGCCCATATGACCTACACTATTCCATTATCATCCATATGTTTGTCCAATGACCATTTAAATGCCCTTAAAGTTGGCGAGTCTACTACAGTTGCAGGCAGGGCATTCCACGCCCTTACTACTCTCCGAGTAAAGAACCTACCTCTGACATCTGTCCTATATCTGTCACCCCTCAATTTAAGGGAAATGCAAGAACTGTGTTGTATGTAAATGTTTCTGTCATGTATATTTACTATACCTTTCCTCACTACAAAGCTAGAGAATATGGTAGAAGTTTGAGAAATATTCTGATACAGTGGATAAAAGAAATCAAGTGGTTCTTGAAAAATTTTAGCCAATGGAAAAAGTACTCCCTTTTTCTTTTCATACATTATATATGAGAAAAAAGGCTCTGCATGCAAGGCTTAATAAACTTTAACTGACATTCTCCCTCAACGTTGCTGACAGTCATTTATTCATGATGCAGGGATCTGAAACGGTTGCGATATTTAGTTGCCAAGCTGGAATGATAGATAATATGGCACATACTTTATAATTCATCTCTCAGGTTCAGGCACTCCTTATATGCCATGTATTTAAATAGGTATATCTACATTTCAGGTCAAATTTTGAGAGGGTGAACCAGCCTCATATGACTTGGTCGATCCTGAAATAAGCTTCAACACAATGTTGTATACCTATGACTGAGGTCAGATGTTTTTCCTGTGATGATACTATGGCTTTAAGATGTGTATTTTGTCCTTTTTTGTTTGGAGAGAGGTTTTAAGGCAGAGGTGATGAAGTGTCTACTCAAACTTGTAAAATAAACAGCTTGTGAAACCTTTTAAAGCTGGAACAATAGGAGCAGCCTGAATAAATAGGGCCAGCTCCCACAGAACCAGGAGTTTTAGATTTTTAGTTTTTCAGTAGCAGTTGCTGGGGTCTCAGCACAGCTCGGAAGCTGCAGTGCATCTCTCCCGGCTGCGCCCTCTCTCAATAGTTTTCTCTTGATGCTTTTCCCTCCTGGGCTGCTAGAATTGCAAGTGAGACAATCTATTTTGTTGACTTTGCCAAGGGGGTGTTTATGGAATGCTACTATATTGGAACAGTCACTGTTTAGGAGTAAAACAATCTATTATTCTGTTAAGTTTTCCCATAGAGTTAAGTTATTCCAATTTCTTCTTTCTTTTGTTGTATTTTAACGATAGCGTATGAATAAAATGTGTTTTGCTTTAAATCTGAGAGTTCGACCAATTGAATTGTATCCAGAATGAAATGCTGGGCACTTGCCTTCCCAATAATGTGGCATAATAGGGGCTAGGCTATCTTCTTAATGTGTTTTTAGGGGGTCCATAATATTACCATTTACAATATTGCCTCACTCTGCAGTCACAAAGTCCAAATTACCATCATTACCACATTTAGTAAATTCTCCAGAGATTCACTTTTCAACATTTCTTAACCTAAAACATTACGTCCAGTGTTATGCTTCCCCAGCATCTTTTTCCTTGTTCTTCAATTGCTTCCCTTTCCCCAAACCAACAAATTTAAAAGTTCTCAATTTTGTTTACAAAACTCCAAAAAAAAGTCACATCACCCATATTATAATCGTGTCCTCATCTGCACCAACTTCTATACCAGAGTCTCAGCCACCTAAGGCCTCCACTCAGAATTCCCACTTAAATACCTATATCATGCTGCTTTTGGACTAACTAGACAGGTCATGTAGAGGAAAACAAGGCAAAGTGAGAGTGGAGGACAGACAGGTACATGGCATCAGAGATGCAGGGGTGAGTGACAAGAAACAGTAAGCAAGAGAATGACTGCGAGCTAAAGAGTCCAGGAGCGCATGAGAGAGAGAAACACATCCGTCTCTGCCAAACAATCACATAAATGAAAAATAGTTTTTTGTGATATCCTTATTTCTTGCATATGATGAATTTTCTCACATATATAAAATATAATTGGAAACTTTTGGGATTTCAAATTTAATTATAATACTTTTTTGCCCTGCAAGGTAGAGCCTCTTTACTAGCTGGGACAAGCTGCACTAGATGCCATCCATGAAATCATGGAAGCACACAACACTAAAAGGAGTATGTTTAATCACTCAAGTTTATGCTGGCTCTTTGAAGGAACAGCTGCTTTTGGTCAACACATTCACAACTTTGTTATATTCCCATCCTCAGGTACCAATCCTATATCCTATTAAAATTATTTTTGGACCACTACCACTTGAAATAGAGTGTTCCAAAAAAAGTTTTAGCCAGTGTCAAACCTGAAAGCAAAAAAGTTTTCTTAAACATAAAACTAGAAATTTTTTTAGAGTAATGACCACTATTATATTTAAGAATAGCTTGAAATTTAAAGGAAGAGATTATTTTAACTTTATGATCACCAAATTTTATAACTTCACATCATTACTAATTCGGTTCTGTGCTTAATACTCCAATGGGTCACAATAACTAGATAGTGCACATTAGCAATAAGGCCAGCTGAACAAAATTCTTGTAAAATTCAGCTATTATGCCATTATGAAAAGATCTACAATCTACCAAAAACACAAGAAATACATCTACCTTGAATATCCATCATGCCTGGCGAGGAGCTGTTTTCTGGAGTCGTCACTTCAGAGCCACATTTATCATCTCTCCCCTTTTTTTTATTCTTGTTCTTCTGTACCAAAAAAAAACAAATGTTGAGATTTGATCTAAAATTCTTATGACTTCTGTAAGTTAAACCTGGTTTAGTGGTTTACATCTCTGACCTTGATACTGTCAAGATTTTTGTGTAATACTTTTTACATCAATGTTTATGATGGCAATTCCATACATAAATATTTATAATGTTAGAAAGCCAAGAAAGATATGGTACTAATTTAATATGCAAACTTTACTAGTTTGACATGCTACATTTGGAGGCCTCACATCACTGAAAATACCGTGGAGCACATTGTCCAGATAATTCAGTTTTAAAACATGTATGGATGAAAACATTGTTACTTTTATTCAAAAGGGGACCTGTCATTTGTACTCACCTACAGAAAACAACCAAACATATAAATATATGAATTAGGAGAATAGGAATCCACCGCCAATTAAGCTTGCTCCACTATTCAGTAATATCAGGGCTGATCAACCTACTGCACATTTGCACCTATTCCAAATAACCTTTCACTTCATTGCTCGTCAAGAATGTATCTACATCTGCCTTAAATACATTCAAGGACTCTGCTTTCACCACTTTTGCAGGAAAACAGTTCCAAAAAGGCACTCAACCCTCGAGAAAAATGATCCCCTAATCTTCATCTTAAATGGACAATCTCTTATTTTTAAGCAGTGATCCCAGTTCCACAAGACAAATCATATTTTCCACATCTATCCACTTGAGACCCAAATTTGCATATGGCCTTCCCTGTCTGCTCACACTAGTCTAATGGCTGGTCTCAAAATTCCTCAGCGTAACCACTAACGCATCATCCCAAACAGCCACTACCCCACCTAAAAAAAGTTATTTTATTTCTTTTACTCCTCGGTAGTTTTTCCTCCACATAACCTTTCATCACAACTAATGGCACAGTATGTTTGTTGCGTTCCCACAAATTGCTCAAAACATATGCTGAACTATTTTTACCTTACTTACTACATCTCCCTCAGTACTTGAAGTCTAAAGTAAGGATTTAAACAAAAGTAAAAATATATTTGACAGAAACAAAATTACTTTGAATTTTATTATCTTTTAATGTCTTTGTTGAAAGTTTACACTTAGAAGCATCAACTTCCTCCAAGTGAGTAGAGGAGAGCAGGAACAAGATCAATACTAAATGCCTGGCTCTCAGTCATCCGTGGTTTCTCCAAATCTGAATGAGCAATTTACCATTACCAAAATGGCATTATAATTATTTATTCTACTATTAGATCCATAGATAGGTGGTTAATTTGAAAACGGACACACAATACTCCCTGGGCAATTCAAATTCAGCTACTGAAGTGATTTATGCTCCCCTACATCTCAATATACTTGACTGCAGAACAACAACTTACATCATCAACTTTAGGTTCCGTTACAGGCACCCATTTGTAGATCCTTAGTGATGTGTCACCAACAGTTACCCATTTCTTCTCCCTGTTTCAGGAAAGGAACAGATTTAAAACTTAAAAGCGGGTACTCTAATAGCGTTTTATATTTTCATGTTCATGTGTAAAAGTGATTACAATTTAACATTTTACTTATTTAAAAAAATCTAAGCTGCTATTTTGGAGGTATTACACACAAGTATTGGCAAAGAAACATCAAATAGAGTTCAAGGAGATTCAGAAGACGATAAAAATACCAAGTCCTCTGGACAAACTACTAAATCAAGGCCGTAATTTCCTGAGGTGGAAGTAAAAGTTAAAAATAACGCTACTAAAGCAGCATTAGGGAGTTTCCAATGCCCAATTCAACAATTTTCAACACGATTGAATCTGTTTCTGGTAATGTTGGTCATCTAAGTACTGTCTGTGGAACCAAGTTGTCTACAATATAGATTTTTGAAAACATAGATAGAAGCATATTTTACCTACTGAATTAAAAAGTAAGAAGAATATGGGGAAGCTTCCAAAAAAAAAACGTTTAGAGCCACGCAACTTATATAGGATTTGAGAGAGAAAAACTGAAAAGGATCCTGACTCTTATGTCTATGTAGTAGTCATACATATCCCATGATCATATGTGTTCAACTTCTACATCTATACTAATAGCACCTAGCTCCAACTCACTACCACCCACTCAACAGTTACAGTTTGGTTGTCATCCAGTTTTAAATAAATCATATTTTCTTCAGATTATGTAGAAAATGTTATGTTACTTCTATTTTCAGAACACTTCTCAGGTTGAACACATGCAATCTCTGCATTGGTTCATACCTGAGCAGAGCATCTGACTCCACATTGATGCTAGAGGATGAAGACAATCATGTCCCACTGAAATTGTATGCCCGTGTCACAACCAGATTGTGTCATTATAAAATTAGGTCACATGGGCTTCAGGCTAAGTGTGCCAATTGGGATACAAAATAAAACTTTATAGGTAGGAGATAGAGGGTAAGGGTGAACAAAGAACAAAGAAAATTACAGCACAGGAACAGGCCCTTCCGCCCTCCAAGCCTGCGCCAATCCAGATCCTCTATCTAAACCTGTCGCCTATTTTTCAAGGATCTGTATCCCTCTGCTCCCTGCCCATTCATGTGTCTGTCTAGATACATCTTAAACGACGCTATCGTGCCCGCCTCTACCACCTCCACTGGCAACGCGTTCCAGGCACCCACCACCCTCTGCGTAAAAAACTTTCCACGCATATCTCCCTTAAACTTTTCCCCTCTCACCTTGAAATCGTGACCCCTAGTAATTGAGTCCCCCACTCTGGAAAAAAGCTTCTTGCTATCCACCCTGTCTATACCTCTCATGATTTTGTAGACCTCAATCAGGTCCCCCCTCAACCTCCATCTTTCTAATGTAAATAATCCTAATCTACTCAACCTCTCTTCATAGCTAGCGCCCTCCATACCGGGCAACATCCTGGTGAATCTCCTCTGCACCTTCTCCAAAGCAACCACATCCTTATGGTAATGTGGCGACCAGGACTGTACGCAGTATTCCAAATCTGGTCGAACCAAACTGCAACATGACCTGCCAACTCTTGTACTCAATATCCCATCTGATGAATGAAAGCATGCCGTGTGCCTTCTTGACCACTCTATCGACCTGCGTTGCCACCTTCAGGGTACAATAGACCTGAACACCCAGATCTCTCTGTGCATCAATTTTCCCCAGGGCTTTTCCATTTACTGTATAGTTCGCTCTTGAATTGGATCTTCCAAAATGCATCACCTCGCATTTGCCTGGATTGAACTCCATCTGCCATTTCTCCACCCAACTTCCAATCTATCTATATTCTGCTGCATTCTCCGACAGTCCCCTTCACTATCTGCTAGTCCACCAAACTTAGTGTCATCAGCAAACTTGCTAATCAGAACATCTATACCTTCCTCCAGATCATTTATGTATATCACAAACAACAGTGGTCCCAACACAGATCCCTGTGGAACACCACTGGTCACAGCTCTCCATTTTGAGAAGCTCCCTTCCACTACAACTCTCTGTTTCCTGTTGCCCAGCCAGTTCTCTATCCATCTAGCTAGTACACCCTGGACCCCATGCAACTTCACTTTCTCCATCAGCCTACCATGGGGAACCTTATCAAACGCCTTACTGAAGTCCATGTATATGACATCTACTGCCTTTTCCTCATCTATCCACTTTGTCACTTCCTCAAAGAATTCTATCAAGTTGGTAAGACATGACCTTCCCTGCACAAAACCATGCTGCCTATCACTAACAAGTCCATTTTCTTCCAAATGTAAATAGATCCTATCCCTCAGTATCTTCTCCAGCAGCTTCACTACCACTGACGTCAAGCTCACCGGTCTATAATTACCTGGATTATCCTTGCTACCCTTCTTAAACAAGGGGACAACATTAGCAACTCTCCAGTCCTCCGGGACCTCACCTGTGCTCAAGGATGCTGCAAAGATATCTGTTAAGGCCCCAGCTATTTCCCCTCTCGCTTCCCTCAGTAACCTGGGATAGATCCCATCCGGACCTGGGGACTTGTCCACTTTAATGCCTTTTAGAATACCCAACACTTCCCCCCCCCCCCTTATGCCGACTTGACCTAGAGTAATCAAACATCTATCCCTAACCTCAACATCCATCATGTCCCTTTCCTCAGTGAATACCGACGCAAAGTACTCATTAAGAATCTCACTCATTTTCTCTGACTCCTCCCATAACTTCCCTCCTTTGTCCTGGAGTGGGCCAACCCTTTCTGTAGTTACCCTCTTGCTCCTTATGTATGAATAAAAGGCTTCAGGATTTTCCTTAACCCTGTTTGCTAAAGATATTTCATGACCCGTTTTAGCCCTCTTAATCCCTCGTTTCAGATTGGTCCTACTTTCCCGATATTCTTCCAAAGCTTCGTCTGTTTTCAGTCGCCTAGACCTTATGTATGCTTCCTTTTTCCTCTTTGCTAGTCTCACAATTTCACCTGTCATCCATAGTTCCCTAATCTTGCCCTTTCTATCCCTCATTTTCACAGGGACACGTCTCTCCTGCACTCTAATCAACCTCTCTTTAAAAGCCTCCCACGTATCAAATATGGATTTACCCTCAAACAGCTGCTCCCAATCCACATTTCCCAGCTCCTGTCGAATTTTGCTATAGTTGGCCTTCCCCCAATTCAGCACTCTTCCTTTAGGACCACTCTCGTCTTTGTCCATCAGTATGCTAAAACTTACGGAATTGTGATCACTATTCCCAAAGTAATCCCCTACTGAAACTTCAACCACCTGGCCGGGCTCATTCTCCAACACCACATCCAGTATGGCCACTTCCCGAGTTGGACTATTTACATATTGCTCTAGAAAACCTGCCTGGATGCTCCTTTCAAATTCTGCTCCATCTAAACCCCTAACACTAAGTGAATCCCAGTCAATGTTGGGAAAATTAAAATCTCCCATCACCACCACCCTGTTGCTCCTACATCTTTCCATAATCTGTCTACATCTTTGTGCCTCTATCCCAACAGCAAGCGAAAAAGGCCTGTAGTACAGCCCCAACACCGATACTGTACCCTTCCTATTTCTGAGCTCTGCCCATATTGCCTCACTGCTCAAGTCCTCCATAGTGCCCTCCTTTAGCACAGCTGTGATATCCTCTTTGACCAGTAATGCAACTCCTCCACCCCTTTTACCTCCCTCTCTATCCCGCCTGAAGCATCTATATCCTGGGATATAGAGTTGCCAATCTTGCTCTTCCCTCAACCAAGTCTCAGTAATAGCAATAACAGTGGAGGGCTGTTTTTTCCAACTGGAGGCCTGTGACCAGCAGTGTTCTACAGGGATCAGTACTGGGTCCATTTCTGTTTGTCATTTACCTAAGAGATTTGGAAGAGAATAGCGGAGGATTTGTTAGTAAATTTGCGGATGACATGAAAATTGACAGTATAGTGGACAGTGAAGAAGGTTATCTAAGATTACAAAGAGATCTCAATCAATTGGGTCCATGGATTGAAGAGTGGCAGATGGAACTTAATTTGGATAAAATGGAGTTTTGCATTTTGGCAAAATAAACAAGGGCATGTAGTGATTGAAAGGAGGTTGGCTAAATGGACCTCATGGAGTACGAGTTCCCTGATTGGGGCTGTTAACCTGGGCCAATCAGGGAGTCCAGCTAACAGATATTAACAAGGGTCTCAGGGATTCTCCTCATTCTAGGGACTGGGTCTGAGCTAGATGGTCAAAGTTCATGTACTGTGTAAATGAGGGGTGACTTGGTGACAGCATACCAGCCTCCCTAGTTTTTTCAGGCCGGACTTACACGATTAATGGTAGAGCACTGCGCAGTGTAATAGAACAGAGACACCTAGGGGTTCGGGTACATAATTCTTTGAAATTTGTGCCACACGTAGGTAGGGTGTTTAAGAAGGCGTTTAACACAGTTGTCTTCATTGCTTAGGCCTTTGAGTACAGGAGTTGTGATGTCATGTTCAAGTCGTACAGGACATTGCTGAGGCTTCTTCTGGAAGACCGTATGCAGTTCTGCTTGCACTGTTATAGGAAGGATATTATTAAATTGGAGAGGGTTCAGAAAAGATTTACCAGAATGTTGCCAGGAATGGAGGATTTGAGTTAATAGACTGAACAGGCTGGGACCTTTTTTCACTGGAGCATAGTAGATTGAGGGGTGACCTTCTAGAGGTTTATAAAATCACGAGGGGCAGTGATATGGTGAACAGCAAAGGTCTTTTCCTTAAGGTGGGAGAGTTCAAAACTAGGAAGCATAGGTCAGAGGTCAAAGATTTAAAAAGGACATGAGGGGCAACTTTTTTTTTAAAAACAGAGTGGTGAGTGGGTGGAATGAACTGCCAGAGGAAGTGGTGGACACAGGTACAGTTACAACATCTAAAAGATATTTTGATATGCACGTGAATTGGAAATATTTGGAGGGATATGGGCCAAATACAGGCAGGTGAGACTAGTCTAGTTCGGAAAAATAGTCGGCGTGGATTAGTTGGACCGAAGGGTC